CTCCCGAGAGCGCGTCACAATTCGCCGCGTTTGTTGTTCTCCGTTGTTGTTTCTCGGTCAGTAGCGATCGTCGACGATTCGTTCGTGGAAACATGCACACACACGTCCACGTACACCCACATACGCGCACACAGAGTGAGAAAGAGAGAAAGAGTGAGAGAGTGAGAGAGAAAGAGAGAGAGAGGGAGAGAAAGAGAGAGAGAGACACAGAGACACGTACACGTTCACACACACGCATACATTTGTTCGATCCTCGGGGAATCGGCCGGGAGAGCTGGAGTGACTGGGAGAACCTTGTCGAGCGTCCGCGCCTCGGCTTTAAATGTATTTTAAATAAAATTCATCGTTTTCCTTTTTATTTGCCTTCTTTCGTCTTTAACACGTTCGCGACCACCATCTTTGTCGGACCGAAATGAGATACGAGAAATAAAACTCGTCAACTTCCCGCACGTTTCATCATGCGTTGCCAAAACGTTGAGCGTCGCGAATATGTGACGGTGGTGACGAACGTATTAATCGAGAACGAAGAAGAAAAATCGTTGAGCGCGGTGTCTCGATGCTAGAACCGCGAGACGTTTGCGCGGCCTGGTCGCCATTTTGTTTGGCTGATCGTAGCGGCCATATTGTCGCATCCTTTAGCCCTAGAAGGACTAAGAATAATTGAGATATCAGTTGCAGGGTATTGTAAATATGTTATTTCTAGACCGCCGATGTTTGTTCGTGTTTAGTAGATTCCAATGTGCAAGAATTTACAGGAATTTTAAGTTGCTTCGAATCTATAGCTGTCGGAAAGATGTGTCATCGAGACATCCGCAGTCTAGAGATGATTATAGGATTAATGTTTAGTTCATGAAAGGTGTCGCGTTTCGGGAACAGCATTTCTTAGTCCTTCTAGAGTGGATCGTAGAATTGTACGAAGGTGCGAAGATGAGGAAATTGTTGTTAACGATCAGTTGAAGCCGAGGCACGGGTGCCAAGCGATGGCGAGTGTTTTTGTCGATCGAGTAGACATCCGATAGAATGATAAGCTCAGTCCGAAGGAGACACGCTCGACCAACGAAGCGAGAGATTTCGGATTTGCCGCGGTCTTTAATTGTCGCTAGTCTTCCCGCGTTGTTCGCTCGAATCGGTTTACAGGATGCGACGATCGAACGGTCCCGGGAACGATCGAGAGAAGCGTTTTACGAATCGTCGTCAACGACCGCTTGAAACCGTATCGTCGAGAGATCAAATTGTAGCATCGAACGAAGCCTGGCTAGAATACTCAAAAGAAAGCTGCTTTCGAACTTATAATAAAAAAACCATTAAAAACTTCAGGTGGCCGATTTTCTGGCGCGCGAATGATACGAATCAACAACCCTTTGTGTCTCACTCATCATCATCTTTATTCTAACCCTTATCGTTCGCGGACCTTACAAAACGTCGTCCACGATGTAAAAGACACGACCGCCAAGCGAGTCGTGCGAACGACTGATCGGAAAGGAAACTAAAAAAAATCCTGATTGCAGTCTCAAGAAGCTGGACCGGTTTCCACGATCAGTCTAGTCTTAATAACGAAAAACAATTCAGGATCTCGCTTCTTGAGACACTTAACTTCCCGTTATCTTCAAATAAATAAACATAAAGAAACTAGACTACAATATCCGATGCGCATGATTCCTATTGCTACTCGCAGCCGGTCTCGGCCAGGCCGTGTTGACGGGCAAGACAAGGCACTGCTCTTTCTTTTGTCAACAAAATATTTCTAATAACATAATCAGGTAGCACAATTACTCAGCACGGCCTGGCCTTGCGTGGCAACGCGAATCATCGCAACACGTTACAAAAAAAACAAAAGAAACATCACAGAAGTGGATAAAACGAAATTGTACAGAGTATCGTAGGATAAAATATTCATCTTGGGAAATCCCCGGACACCTCGGCGAGCGTATTATCGTTCGCTGTCGCGCCAGCTTCCGTCTTTTAAATGCTAGAGACTGGAACGGACCCCGAACGGATCATCCTCGACGCGCGGTAGCCATCTTATGACGGTCGCCGTCTCTTAGACGGGTTTCTCCATCACGTGGATGTAGAAACCGGGATGCTTGACGTCCTCCAACCGTTTAAAGTCACCGTAGATGGTGTGCTTCGCCCTGTAGTGGAAAGCCTCTTCCAGCATGTCCCTGAACACGTGCAACCTGTGGGGATAGTACGAGAGCCTGAACTCGCTGATCACCTTCTGGCCATCGTCCTCGTCGATTTCGTCCAGGGTGATCATATAATCCAAGGTGACGATCGCTGGTTTCCCAGAGACGAACAAAACGGAAGCCTTGATGTTCGTCATGTGTTCACTCTGGAGAAATACGATAATTAACGCTCAATTATTTCCCTTGTCACAGTTCTTTGGCACAGAGGGTCTAGCAAAATGGCATTCTCAGATTGGAACGCGTTGTCGTGGCAGCATTCTTAAGGATAAAGAAACTAAATATCGTTTGAGTATGACATAATAAATTACAGCTCTCAAGGTTATTAAGACTTCGTTAACGATAATCGATAGCAGCGACCATCTCGCGTTGCGCAAGGTGCCACGTTCGCTGGAAATACTTTCGATCGCAGCTGCAGTTGCTGACCATCACGTGGAGATAAAAAAATAGAGTCGACACTTTCTTTTTTCATTGCAAAGCCACGTGCACGAGTGCACGGTCGACTGGAGGACCTGAACTCGTGAATGAAACGAAGCAACTTTCGCCGATCGCGCGTTCCTTGATAAGTACCAAGAATTCTTACGTTATAGTAGATGCATTTGGGCGGTATGTTTCCGGTCTCGATTATGTAATCGTAGTTCCTGTGATCGATCAGCAACAATCCGCCCGGTTTTACGCAGCGTTCGAAGTTCAGCAACGCTTGCCTGCAAATGAATTGAAACGATCAACAATTGGTAACTTATCGAAAATTCTAGACAAAAGTGTGCAAGATTGGTTCAGTGGCTAGCTACCTTTGCTCCCGTTGGTCGCCAAACGTGTCCGGCATGTGGGCGAAACTATTTCCTAAGCAAATCACAGCGTCGAAACCCTCTCCTATCAAGTGACCAATGTCCTTGGGCAAGGTCAGCCAATTAGCTTCCTCGATCACTGAAAACAGAAACGAACTTTCCACTACGAATTCACGCAAAACGATTCCGTTCTAGAGATCCCTTCGAATCTCAGAAGCACTTGGCTAACTCTAACAGCAATAATCGAATCAATTTCTCTTTTCATTTACTTTGACAATCTAACCTTTCAGACTCGCGACAGGACCTAACTCGAACCTAACCCAGTACCAGAATCCTCGAAATATTTTTTAACACTTTGACTGCCACTCATCGACACTCCTATCGAAACGATTTTCTTAATAAAGCATCTAACAATATTCGCTTCGTTCGTTACGTCACCAAGAAAATTAACGTTTAAGTGACATGACAGTCAAAGTGTTAAAGGACACCCTATAGATCAGTGTTTCCCAACGTGGGCCAATCTAATTTCCAAGGGGGCAATTTGAAACTTGAAACGTCACTTCATATATTGCACAAGGTTTACGCGCATACACAAAATAGTAAAAGTATTGTAACAAACATTATAAAAATACTACAATATTAAAAATCATATATATTAGATAGGGGGCATAATTTTAGACAGCCTTTTGCGACTCGCCACAAGACAGGTTGGGAAACACTGCGTCACATTTATGAACCGAGTTGAAAGACGAATCCTTGAAATTCCAATTACCCCAATTATCGAACGCCGGCTCTTTCCGGCGTTCCCATCTGGCCTTCAGCGCGTACTTCAGCATCTTGTCCGAAGCGTCCACGCTGACCACGTCGAAGCCCTCCTCGAGCAGCATGACCGAGTCGACGCCGGTCCCGCAGGCCACGTCCAGGATCCTCTGGCAGCCCTTGTCGCGCAGCAGGCCCACCAGGAAGTCCCGATAGTTCTGCGTCCTTTGCTTTTTGTCGCCGATAAACACCTCCCAGACTTTAGCCGCCCTGCCGTCCGCGTACTGGTCGCGGACACCTTCGGCTGCTGTTCCCAGCGAGCGGGTACGGAATACCGAATCCATCATTTCCTCTCCGACTCGTCCTGAAACCGACCGGTCGTTCATATTCCCGGTTGCGACGCGTCAAACAACTGTTCACACCCTGAACTCTCTCGTGAATCTCATTTGGTTTCACTGTTCAAGTTATTGGGCCGCGCGGGTCGTGCGATCCTCGGGGAGAGGTGTACATTTCCCGCCCAAGTTGGGAGTGTTGCGTCTCTTCAGGAAATCCCCTGCCATCTTTTGGGACGTGCATTCACTATTCGAGAGAGCCACGAGACTCTCCAGCCGATCCGGTAATCGACTGGACTTTGTTTTGATTTAGCAAAGACTATTTCAAATTTAGTTAATGGTTCGAATACGATGACACTGTCCCGTGCTAGGGCCGCAGACCTTTCGAACTGCTGCGTAGATAGACTCGTCTATATAGTTACGTAATTCATGGTGGTTGGCGAAACGCATCCTGCGTATGGGGTTTCGTTACGCGGTAAAGTAAGGTATTCTCGTGGAACCGTGAGGAATATATCGTAGTTAACAGGAATATTGATTATCGGCGAGAACGCAAACGATTTAAATACGAGGAAGTTGGTCTACGTAAAGCAAAGCACTTTTGCAAAGATGCGGCGTGAGGTTCCATTTTTTGATTTCCATGGTTACGTTCTTGTGTGATGATATATGGAAAACCGGATTGCAACAATGTGGTTTATCTTTATAGAAAGATACGTCGGTGATCTTGAAATCTTGAAACCGAAGTCGTCTCCCGACGTGACATTGGGAATCCCCTCTACCCTTCAGGTCAAGCAACTCTGCGCAAACAACTTCCCTCGTATCTGCGCCGTGACGTCTTGGAAGGCGTAGAGAAACAACGAACGCGTGCAATCGCAGGAGGCGCCGATAAATCTCGTGTTACGAGAAACAATGTATGCACGTCCCGACAAGAAGAACAATCGGTAAAGAATGTCGAAGGTCGCGTTGAAATTTACTGTTGCCGAGATAAACGATATTTGCTGCGCTCGGTGCCGAACGCACGAGCAATAGGGTTCAATATTATCGGCACCCGATACATGCCAGGGTACTTGTAAATCTCGACGTCCTTCGCATTGAATTATTAATAAAATTCCCATCGTGAGGTGAGTCGGTGGACGTTCGATTATTTTCGCAGGAATTTTCAACAATAAAACGCGCTATTTTATCAAGTATGAACATTCGACTGAACGCTATTTTCATCGGACCGTGTCTTAAAAACAAGAAAACAAGAAAGAAGGTAATGCAAAGCGAGATAACGGTTTAATCACGATTATGGGTGATTATCCTGCCCTCTTATCTGCTATTTAAATGATCCGCGAGTGACGATAAGATTGCGACAGACTAATTACGAAATTTCGATGGATCAGCGAAAATCGGCTGTCCGGACACAAAACTGGACACGAGTAACATTGTTGCGTCAGTTACGAATTTCAATGTAATAGCTCTAACAATGCTGATCCGTCTTTTTGAAAATCATATTGTCTTTGTTGCATATAGAAATAAACGATGCAAGTGGGATGTAGAAAAAAAGTATTTGCCACGTGCATAAGCTAGGTTCGGTCTACAGATTTCGAAAGCTGACTTTTGTTATGAAATAGAAGTGAACAATTCTTACGTTAACGTTATGAAAAGTGTTCAAGAATGAAATTTGCAACGTACCTTTTGAAATGAACCGTTGACCAGTGATCGATCGATTTGCGGAGAACGAGCGATATTGTCGTTTAAAGGAAGTATTCGGTAATTAATCGCCGAAGAGAAGTAGAGGAGTGAATCGTTTAGAATCGTTGAATTGAGAATTTGCAAAATAATGAACGATCAAGATCACGGGAACTGGACTAAGAAGCGTGAACGTCTTCGCACGCTGTAGTAAATTGACACTAACCCGTCGCAGCTACAGTCTCAGAAGTATATAAAGGTTCCCGAGCCCATGCTGCATGATGTAATTTTCAACCCGGTTGGAATAGAGCAGCCGAGAAATGGTCATGACACGGCAAGATTCGAAAACATTGCGCAAATTAAAATGATCTAGCCAGTGCAATGATGTTGACAATTTTCCTTACGATAACCACAATATCGTTATCGCGTCATGTAATTCGTATTATATCTTCGATCGCTGGAAAAGCTCAGTATCAACAACGATCGCAATCTGTGCTGAAATTGCTTCATAACGATACGTCGATGTTTCTTGGCCACAGTCTTTGAGTTTCCTACGTAATCTGTGATTGGAGAGAAATAGTTGAAAAAATAAGCAACAGGAGATACAGGTAGATGAAAAAATTGATTCGCAGATTTGTTTTGGTTGGATAACAACATATAATTACAAGTTGTGGTGTAAAATTTTATAATTATTTTGTCAGAACAAATTACATAATTCACGAACTTATTCCTAAACTAGATACATGCTAGAAATTCCTAAAAACCTTATCAGTTCAGAACACTGACAAATGTATTTCTAAATGCCAATATGTCATATTGTGCAGCATATTATATCATAGGTTTCTTTCACTGAATGGAAGCAAATGTACAGTGCAGTTATATTTTGCTATTTCAATTTACATGGATAAAAAAAAAATAACTCAATGAATCCTTAATACAAAAGAATATTTAAGTGTCAGGAACAAGACAAACCAATACTTACAGCCGAACTTAATTAATATGTTTTTACTTGTAATACCCTTATTCGATAGAATAATCGATAGAGATACAGTCAAATGGCAGTTTCTTGTTCCTTATAAATTATCTTCTCTAGTACTATTCACAATTCTTTCATATTTGACAACTACATCATTCGAATAAATTGTTGTTTATTTAATTTTTCATTTAAAAAGAACAATCTACAGAAATAGTTATTTTCCTAATGAAGAAGTGCATTGTAATTAAACTATTTTGAATCCACAGAGTATATTTTTTTTTGTTCTTCAATTTTTTAGCACTTGCATTTTTGTCTTACTTGTAGAAAAATGAGGTAACTGTTTTACTACCTGCATCATTAAAGTATGTATAAATATTTGGAATCATCCTGCTAAATTGATTAACTTTATTTCTTAGTAATGTACATATTCAATTACTTTAATGCTTAAGTGAAACCTCAGCGATTGTGTTGGACATCTTTGGAAGGAAACCAAATTTTTTATCTCTAACCGAGTCTTCAATAGTGTTATATAGTAATTTAGGGCTGTGCACGAAAATTCATTTCTCAAACGTGCAGTACTTCACTTTAAACACTAACAAGGTTTAATTTATTCTTTGAATTGGGCCTATGTAATGATCAGTTGAATGTTAAACTGTATCACTTTGTTATTCGCAGTAGTTTCTTTCCTTCTCCACTTCCTGTCCTCGACTGTTACAAGGGATCTTACCCTCATATATTTTTTAAGTCTTCTGGTAAATCATTCTTAGGATGTTTGTTTTCAAAGTGTTGCTTATACGTCTTTGGGTCTGGCATCTGTGCCTGCAAACACATTAAATAGTAAAGATTAAATTCATAAATTTATATAAGATAATCATAAATCTTAAATCTGTTAATAAACTTACTTTACAAACTGTGCATACATGCACTAAAGCTTTCTGTGCTGCCTTTTTCTGATCATTGGCACTGTGTCCTTGTTGTTTTTTCACTTTTGCAGCCTTTTCTGCAGCCTTAGCTTGCGATTGAATTCTCTGTTGTCCACGAGCCATTCTGCAAAAAAAGATTCTATTATTCCATCAAACCTTAACACGGAAGCTAACTTTTCACTTAAAAATAAAAATTCCTCGAGTTCCATTAAACTGTGACAATTGCATTTAATGTTTCGTGCTAATTTTAATACAAAAATAAATAAAAATGTCATCACTTATATTAACAATCTTACTTGTTTGAAGGATTCAATGATTGTACTAACAAACTTTCAATAAACAGAATAAGAAAGAAAAAGGCGATGCGTATACATATACTTTATTCATTATTATATAATTATGGTACAATAAATATTTTTACTCGTAAACATCTATAGGAACTGTAACAATATTTGTCCTATTCGGCTTGCAAGGTTGTACATACATTATTTGTTGCGTTCACATGACAAACAGACGATTATTTACAAACATATAGACGATTCGAAATGAAATGATCGTATCGTTAAATACGGGCAACCGTGAACAACGAAGAGATGCATTGTTACAAATGTTAACAAAAAGTTCACTCGAAAGTGACCGGATCTGCACTGTACGTCTTCGTTCGTCCGTGCAGTCCCCGTTCCTTTCTCTTTGACAAACTATTATTACGTACTTTCTCTTCAACCGAGATTACTCAGCACGTAGCCAACCTATAAAATCGGTATGGTACGAACCGTAGGCTGGCCGACGGTGTCGTTCACGTTTTTACAGGATACATTTTGAATGAAACGTGAGACTCTCCTTTATCAGAATTCATTTCACCAAAGCCACGAACGAAAAGAACGCGTGGACGTGTCGCGTGTGCCCGAAAAATAGATCGCTCACCTGTCCGAGGATGAACGTGTTGCAAAAGCAAGATTCTCTTGCCACCACGATGATCCGGGGCACGATTTTCGGCAGCCACGAACCGAGCAATCTTTCTTTCGATTTTTGATTTCGTCGCACGATCAAATATCGCTGCGGGATCGAGAAATTCGCGAAAAGGGGACGAACAGTCAGCTCAAAATCAGTGCTCTCGGCACATCTGTCGGGACGAGTAGTCTTCGATCATCCGCACGTGAAGTACTCTATACCGTCTGACAGAGAATCGTTTCCCGGAGAACAAAAAAATCCACCGCGAGGAGTAACGCGATTCTCACGGAATCGCAATTGATTCACGCGAACGTCCTCAGACTTTTCCCTCTCCGGCCCTTCTTGATCCTTTCGGTCACGGCTGTTCGAGCTTGAAATTGTTTTTAATCGATATTTCAATATTAAGCCCTGCAGCCTCGGTGCCCATATTCCTGGATACACGAGAAGTATATCAAGTTTTAGATCCGTATCGGAATACTTTCTTCCAATGAGAAATGTAGTCTTCTGACAGTTCCACCACGCTATTGGCTCAAGCATTTTCGAACCGTTCGAGGAAAATTCATAGATCCTTCTATAGATCCCAACAGAGCCTTATATCACTGTCGCTTCGAGTCGAGTATTCCGGTTAATTTTCTTCGATTCTAGCAACAACTAGCAATTGTACAAATAGTTAATCGCTCTGATATTCCGACGTCGGAAGCAGTGCTTTCTTTCTTAACCTGTGATACTCAATGACGTATGTCGTGAAAATTGTTACGAGCGTAAGAGTAACTAATAAATTAGTTGTTGAATGTTTTTTCATTGATCTCTTGCGTTATCATTCGTTGTGGCAATTTTAATTGATAATTCGTTTTCCATACGTAATAATTATTCTAGGCAGAAAGAAATAGTACAGCGCCATCTACGACGAAACGTCCAAGCTTCTGGTCATCGATACTTTTATCTTTTCACGATAGATGGCGCCGTTGCTGGTTTCTACGAAAATTCCTAGATTTGCGACTCGGTCGGTAAGAGTGAATAGTCTGCACGTGATGAGCATTCAAATATGGACAACTAAATGATAAACGTGCAAACTTATTTTTCTATCGTGCAGAAAATTGTATTGTTTACAGTATACAGATCTTACAACTACGCACAGCTTAATGATTATTGCATATCACCACGCTCAGTTAAATACGTCATAAACTAATCTTGTTTTCAGTATTATCGTCAAACATTATATTGATAGTGCAATCAATATAAACAACTAGACAATTTTATCAGAGCTAGTTACATTGCGCTCGAGCTGGAAGCACTGTTAATCCAGTAACATTTTTATTTACGTTGTCAGCGGAGTTCAACGAAAACGCATTCGCATTATGTAGAAACCAATTGAAACGTCACTGGGTTTTCTCAGCACCGTATGACGTCAGTAACCAGTTAATCATTATAGTTTTCCCTTCTCCCACCGCGGTTGTAGACGCAGTATAATCTACCGTCTTTCATCAACGGCCGTAGTATATACGTGTCATTGATATAAAACAACTAAATATCTATATAATAAAATTCTGTGAAACATTAGGTAAGCTCTAAATCTTATTCTACAACGTGTTGGTATAAAGCTTAGTGGATCACCGAATTGTTTGTCAGTGTTTCGTAACTCTTGACAAGTGTACAAATATACAAAGCTCTTTATCATTATTGGGCGTCTACTTCTTCTATTCTTCTCTTTCTTTCAGCTGCACATGAAGCTGATCTCTAGTAATTACAGTATTACAATCTTTTCCTGATAGCTATATAATTTAGTAGCCAACTGAAGGAAATATCTTGTTTTGATTTCAGATTAATTGGAGCCAGCCGTTTTCTTCAATAAAGCAAAAATGAGTTATGGGTATCAAGTAAGTTTATCCTCATTTTTGCTGTAGATTAGTCATTGTGACATTTTAATTTGTTTGACACCGTAAAACAGGTTGTTCAGTGTTGTTTTTCTTACACTAATAACATAGTAATGTTATTTTCCATATTATTATTTTAATTATATTAATTTAATTTAATTTATAATATAGATTTCTTCTAATATGTATAAACACATTAAGTGTAATGAAGCAATATTTGCTTGTTTTAAGTGAATTTTCATGTGGTTATTAGCTACATTATTAGGGCAATTTATTAAAAAACATTATGCATAAGTTTTGGAGCTTGTTATTTTAATTTACACCTTAATATCAAAGGGACCACCAGTGATTCAGTTTCCGGGACATGCACCGCCTACATCGTTTGGAGCTCCACCTGGCACACCTTCTGCTCCTGGTGCTCCACCTTATTCTGAAGGTGGCAACATAGGTTTCCCAAATGGTCCCCCTACATCTTTTGGAATGCCACAACCTTATTCCTCTTATCCCCCTTCCCCTTATCCTTCTTCCCCTTTCCCGGCCCAACCAAATCATCCTTTACCTGGACAAGGTCCTCCTCATGCACCAGCAAGATCTTCAATGCCTATTCCTCAGTCTATGCCGTATCCAGCTCAACAAACCAAGCAACCGTATCCTAGCCAACCATCTCCATACGCAAACCAACCATCTCCATATGGTAACCAACCATCTCCATATGCTAGCCAACCATCTCCATATGGTAGCCAACCATCTCCATACCCACAACAGCAAAACTATAATATGTATCCAAATCTTCAACATGCACCAGATGCAAAAGAAACTTTCGGTGCACCTTCTCCTTACCCTTCTGCTTCTAATATTTATTCGAACAGTGCAAGCTTCTATCCAGGCGGAAGCTATCCTGGGGGGCAGGGTGCTGGTTCCTCTTCTCCATATGGAGGCAAACCCGCTTCTCCTCAACATTCACGCCCAGCCCCCCGCAGAGATCAGTTTACGCCTAAGGTGAGGCAGAGGAAATAAAATTGGGCAACTTCGCTAGATATTTCAAATTACTCTAGTTGAAAAGAAGTAATTTTTATATGGTGATTCCTCGATTTTTGTTACAGTTGTCTCCTACTGTCGTGGCCTACCATGACTTTGATCCAAGAGCAGATGCAGAAGCCTTAAGAAAGGCAATGAAGGGATTTGGTACTGATGAGAAGACCATCATTCACATACTTGCCAATCGTAGTAACTTACAGCGCCAAGAAATTGGTGTACAATTTAAAACCCTATATGGAAAGGTGAGGACCGGATTATACTGATTATCAAAGAACGTGAATGACGTTTGTCTTTTCAAATTAGGATCTGATCAAGGATTTGAAGTCCGAATTATCAGGAAATTTCGAGAATTTGGTTCTTGCCATGATGATGCCATTACCGCAGTATTACGCTAAAGAATTGCATGATGCAATGGCCGGTGTTGGTACTGACGAATGTGTACTTATCGAGGTACTATGTACCATGTCCAATCACGAAATCCGTGTAATTAAACAGGCTTACGAAGCAAGTAAGTTTTGTATGCGTTGAAGTTGTACTTGTTAGAATTACAAACTTAACAATGGCAATACTAATATTTTCAGTGTACGGGAGATCTTTGGAAGATGATTTAAGTAGTGACACATCAGGAAATTTCAAACGCTTAATGGTATCGTTATGTTGTGCCAACAGAGATGAGTCATTCGATGTGGACCACGGTGCCGCGATAGAAGATGCCAAAGAACTTCTAAGAGCTGGTAATTACTTTTTTAATATAGCTCGATTCTGATGCAAGTTCCTTAATAAACTGAAATTCTTATGTTTGTTTCGTTTGCAGGTGAACTGCGTTTTGGCACCGATGAGTCTACATTTAATGCTATTCTTGTTCAGAGAAATGTGCCACAATTAAGACAGATATTCCACGAATATGAAAATATAACTGGACATCCTATTGAGACCGCTATTGAAAATGAATTCTCGGGTGATATTAAGAAGGGTCTCCTTGCTATTGGTATGGATTATTTTACTATGTATATTCTTTTTGAATTCTGAAGGAATTTACTAATGTCAACTAAATTTTACAACAGTCAAGTGCGTGAAGAATAGACCTGGCTTCTTTGCTGAGCAACTGTACAAAAGTATGAAGGGTTTGGGAACCGACGACAATCGTTTGATTAGATTAGTCGTTACACGTTGCGAGATTGATATGGGAGAGATTAAAGAGGTCTTCAGGGGATTGTACAATGAATCTTTGGAGGATTGCATCTCTGTTAGTATATTCGATAAAGTACAATTATACATCGTATCTAACATTGACCTAACATGATTTAACATTCTTAATTTCTTTGTAGGGCGATTGTTCTGGCCATTATAAGAAATGTCTTCTGGCTCTAATATCTTAAGAAACTACTGTGCCAACAAATTCAGTGTACCGTGTGTTGATGAAAAGTTGGCACAGGGACAAGATGGGTCTTTCATTGTGTGTTTTGTTTATTCTCACGGTCGCAAGATTGTGTTAATGTGTACGACGCTTTCAGCAAATAGCTTGCAAGCCGAAAATATGTATGAGAATGGAGATGTTTCCTTCCAATCTGACCAACGAAACCCGCATTGTTTTGAAGTGCTTTCTTTCCACCAACGTATCACATAATTCAGCTGTGGTTGCATTTAACAGCAAAATTATATTTTCAATTTTAAATATTTACACCGTTATTGGGCTCGATTCACCGTACACTATAAATGCCAGTAATACGCATTTTACATTGAAAGAGTTGCTGCAATGTTCCTATTTGTAAATTTCGTTCTCAAACGATTTGTAAACTTTTATAAAAGTATTACAATGTATCTTCCATGTTTCTGCGTGTTGTAAACTATAAGCTTAAACATATAAAATGGGCGATAGGTGTGTTTTGAAAAGTTTATTAGATATATGGTGTTTTATATTCGGATATATACCTACATATGGAGATATATACACATGTTATTTACACTTATGAATATATAGTGAAAATAGATCTGAAATTTATTCTATACACATGATGAAAATAAAATATGTTATTCTGAATAAATCTTTGCGTTTCAATCATTGAATCTTAAAAGATATATCGGTAAATTACTGACGAATAACGTTTTTGAATATAACACGGTTACCGCGCCACCATGCGTAATGAATGTACAACACAGAAGCGCCAAGTAGTACTACTTGTCGGTAGATGAAATCAGTGGCTGTTATTTGTACGCTTTGTTTGTCAACGAATATTTCAGTTTTTTAACAGAAAAATCTAAGCAAAAATGGACAACGAAAAGAGTACCATGCTGGCAGTTCTACAATTGCTCAGAAAGTATAATTTAAAGGTATGATACAGATAATTTCTTTATCGGATACTTCATAACCTTAACACCGTATATAAACACTGACTGTTAATGTAGAAATACTAAGATTCTACCTTTCTGTGTAAGATGTACTGTTAAAGGATAAAAAGATTATAACAAAATGTACATAAATGTAATAAATACTTTTATAGGGAACAGAAGAATTGTTTAAGAAAGAAGCAAACTTGACAGATATTTCTCCAGACGAAGCTCAACAGACTGACTCTGAAGTTAACAGTGTTCTCTCTGCATATAAGAGTGAAGGAGATCCTGCGCTATATGAGAAAGCATATAGTGAGCTAAAAAAATTTGTAGAAGGTTCATTAGACATATATAAGGTAAACCATTGCATGTATAATATTTAATATTAGGTAGAAGATTCTAAGGATCTAGAAAAATTTGTTCGTATTGTTTCTACATTTGAACCAAAAGATGAAATGTATTTATTATTAACAACAGCATGAATTGGGTACTATACTATACCCAGTTTTGGTACATATGTATCTTGAATTGGTTTATAATAATCATTCAGAAGAAGCGAAACAGCTCTTGGAGAAATTCTGTGGAAACTTGGAAGAGTATTATCAGAATGATATGAAGAGACTGTCTAATGTTACCAAACGCGAGCAAATGGCTGGAAATGAATTAACTGACACTTTTAAGTATGTATGCAAATGATACCTGCATAGAATGTGATTCCAAGTAGATATCATGGTATAAATCATATAAAATGGTCCACAGATCTAATCAGTTCATAATTAGAATGTCGAGGGACACACTTTCGATATTGAAGAGGCATTTACAAGAGAAAAAGCACAGTGTGTTGTTAAATATTATACAAGAACATCTTTATTTTGATATGTACGAAGGAGTAGCAAGAAATAAACAGCAAATTGATGCTACATCGGGTGCAGTAGTTGGTGAAGCCACAAGACAAGGTACTGTAATTTACAGGTGTTTCTGAATTTTAAAGAAATTAAGATATCTTCTGTTTCAGACAATAAAGCCAAAGTGTATTATGGACTTCTGAAGGAGCCAGATATTCAATGTATGCCTCCAACAGAGGAAGAAGAGGATGATACAGGTGGTGCAGATGGGGATAAACCTAAGAAAAAGAAAACCAAGAAAGATCCTCTATTTTCCAAGAAAACCAAATCAGATCCGAACGCACCACCTGTTGGGAGGATGCCTTTACCAAATTTGTAAAGCAGTCTTCCATCTAAATTGTTTCTCCATATCATCTTACAATAAACTCAATCTGAATTCTTTAACCATAGAAAAGACGCAGATAAACTGGAGAAAGTGAAAGCGCTCAGGGAAGCGTCGAAGCGGGTTGTACTGGGTCCAGATACGTTACCATCTATATGTTTTTATACGATTCTGAACGCGGTTCACACGTAAGTTCACGGAATGATTAATTGCGTCTATACCAATCTGAATATGTGCATAACATTAGACATAGTGTGACAGCAGCGGAAGTAGCCGAAGATTCGAGTTTACTGGCAATTGGGTTTAGCGATTCCAGTATAAAAGTATGGAGCTTAGTTCCACAGAAATTAAGACTGATGAAGACTGGCGAACAGTTACAGGATATCGACAGAGAAGCAGGTACTGTTAGTAGAATCGAATGTTCAGATTTTCTTGACGCAGGTTAATAATATGTTTTGTATAACGGTACGGTAGATGATGTATTGGTAAGAATGATGGACGACCGTACAGCGGAGACTTCAAGGACTTTGTTTGGGCATAACGGTCCTGTGTATAGTTTATCGTTTAGCCCAGATAGAAATCTTCTTCTCTCGTCTTCAGAAGACAGTACAAGTATACTCCGTAATGTACTTTTATAACTCCCTTAAACGACAAAGGATTATATTATCATCGTGTTACAGTCCGACTGTGGTCTTTACACACGTGGACTTGCGTTGTCTGCTACAAGGGACATTTATTCCCAGTGTGGTGCGTAAGATTCTCGTCTCACGGTTACTATTTCGCGACATCCTCCCACGACAAAACTGCCAGACTATGGGCGACTGATTCCCATCAGCCTCTTCGAATATTTGCCGGTCATTATTCGGATGTAGATGTACGTAGACTTGAATTCAGATTTCCGTTACAGCAGAAATTCTGTAAAATAATCTTGCGACCTTTGATTTGCAGGTAGTACAATTTCATCCAAATTCGAATTACGTGGCGACCGGTTCCAGTGACATGACTGTAAGATTATGGGACTGCGTAACCGGTAGCCAAGTGAGATTAATGACGGGGCACAAAGCTCCAATTTACTCCCTTGCTTTTTCCGCAGAAGGTCGTTTTCTAGCGTCGGCTGGAGCAGACCATCGCGTTTTAGTTTGGGACTTGGCGCACGGCCATCTTGTCGCTGCCCTCTCAAGTCATTCTGGTACCGTGCACTGCTTGTCGTTCAGCAGGGACGGGAATATATTGGTCTCAGGTGTCGATTGCTTCCAGAATCGAATTCTATAATTTTATATTGAAACATATCCTTTATACTGATTATTCTATTCGCAGGATCGTTGGACTCTACAATCAAGTTGTGGGACTTCACCAAACTCGCAGAGGAGATGAGTTTGGAAGACGTGAATGTGTCGCATAACCCGGACGTGAAAACGAACGTCGATACCTATCTGCTTCGGACTTTCGCGACCAAAAATTCGCCGGTTTTGACGTTGCATTTTTCCCGAAGAAATTTACTCTTGGGCGTTGGAATGTTCGAGTCCACGTAACGGATGTACAAACTTTTTCTTATCAAGTTACAAGTCTACCTACTGAAAACAGTTTGGCATTGAATTGCCACCGTTGTAATATAAAAAATTTTGTCAATATACTTTTTCACATTAAATACTGCGACCAATCACTAGTGTTCTTTTTTAATCTAGGTACTTACACGGTACAAAACTTTATACCGACGAAGCATCAAGTTCTCTGTCAAGTTTACCAGGAGCTTAAGCATCTGATTGTAGATGGCGCCCCAATTCATTCAATATCAATTCAAGGAGACTTAATCAAAGATGCAACGTGGCAGGAATTATTTTAATTCACGATGACTGTAGCCCGTGTTGCCTGCACAGCTTATCGTCAGGCGTTGAGCTCTTTGTACATCTAAGAGATAAAGGGAAAAAATGATAAGATACTGGAGCGTTAATATCAGAGAACTCGTAGGTCTCTCGTTGAATATGAATATTCATGAACTGATCAGGGCGATGTTCGGTTATAATTAACGAAGCTCCGACGACAAAGCAGATGCCGTAAATCCAAGGGATTCGATTGCTGAACTTAAATTACGGCTGGAATATGGATGGAGCCAGGATGAGCTTCTCAGTGACCACCATCCATATTCTATCTTCGTGATTGAGCACTCGAAACTATGGCACCGTGATTGTGATTTATTTCGAATTCCACTTGCTTCCTGTATTTTCATGAGCTCCTCTTTGATTGATTACAGGACCAAGATTATTCCGATTCGGTTTCTCGCGTTCGTCGCCAGAGGGCTAGAAAGTAGACGTCGATACCCGAAATCCCTTCAGTCGATAATTTTCTCCATCGCAATCGGAAGGCTAATGAACGTTCTTCAGGAAAAACGAAACTTCGAATCAGTGCAAGACGGAGCTTTCCGAAACGCGATAAGAATCCCACGCGAGGATGAAAGGAGAAGATTATCGCAGCGCCGGAGGAAATGTATCCAGGCAAACTCGAAGAAATTGTTGCGGCACCGGTGACCCACATCGAACGTTTCATTCGCGCCGGCACATTCACGGTTGACCGACATCCGGTCTGAAACGCGCGTCCCTCAAAAACGGCCGGATACCAAGACGATCCGAATAAGACCGAAGGTCCGTGTCACTGAATGCACTCGTTAGCCCGGAAGGTCAGCAGAGGGGAAAATAAAATGTGGTCCGTTTGCAAAGAAACCGTTTCATTTCACTGGATCTGGACTAGAAATAAAAATGGGAACGTGGCGTGACCTTAAGAGGTCAGCGACCTTCTACCTGAAATTTCGAGCCACATATAAGTACAGAGAGGTTCGAACTAAATTATAAATTCCATGTTCGTTTCGCTGGACAGTTTCGGTAACGGAAATTGCGATACACTTAATGCTAAACAAGATCATTGACACGTTGGATGCCACACGACAGAGCGTACACAAAATGGAAAAAATATATTAAATCATTCGATTGAATTGTATTATTATTGCTCGTTCATCCAGAATGTCACATTAGGTATTATCTATAGTATAGAAACGTTCTCGAATAATCGTTCAAGTGAACTACAGTAATTCGATTTGCGGGTCACCGGTGACCCCGTGGCATTCAACGTGTCAACGAACGTTTCCGATGGAATTGAATCGGGGACCGCTAGAGGGCTGGAACAACAGGGAGTACGATCGAAAGCAATTTCACGCGAGAAATTTATTTCCGATTGTTGATACGCTTACTTCTATCACAGCATACAGACGTAAGTTATACGCGCTTGTTACCATACGTGTGTGTATGTATTCATGTATGTAATATGTTATGTATGACGTGATCCTCTTCCTCGTACACGTGTCTCTCTCTCTCTCTCTCTTGTGTTGTTCCGCGCGCGTGAAAACGATGGCCTTTAGTAGTTAACACTTTCGTAACGGTGTCGGGAGTGGGAAAATGGGGGATGGGGGTGGGTTACAATGTTAATGGCGTATCGTCTCGTGTCTTCCGTTCGCCCCTTTCACGCCTTTCGTATTCGCGCTCGTTTAAACGATAACCAACTATACATCGATCTCTACATCCCAGTCACAAGCCTCGCGCGTCGATATCAAACCTAGGTTATATGTGTGATCTTTAACTATATGTTATATCATCTTCGATAACGTTATGCATTTATGAAATCTGTATAGGTTAAGTTCGTGGTTAATGCGGGAGCGTAGGGATTCCCGGAGCCGACACCTCGTTTCACGGAATTCTTCAATGAATTCATTAGCGTCGAATACAGAATGATTCGAATGACCTCGAGGTGTATTGAAAATATCCTTCCAATACGCGGGAATCGTCGCGAGATCAGGATCGCGACTCGAATTTCACTTCGTAATTTACTCTACGTATCGTCGTCGTTGCTGCGCGCAATGGCGACGCGATAGGGCGTCACTAGGCTCCCGCGTTAACGGTGGTTGGCTGCGTGTCTTACAAAAAACGATGGAATTATCGACGGATCGACGCAGATCACACCGATCTCGGTTCGGTGATACAATGGATCGGGAGGGTTCGCGGTAACGCTTTGGCCGATGTCTTTTGGTCGTAATCCTTAGGATACGTTGTGCACGACTCTCGCCGTGTCGTTCGCTTACGAAAATGATGAAATTATACAATTAAGAACTTCAATGGTGACGAACATCGGTTCGAATCATTCGGTCGTTCCTTCTGTCTTCTTCTGTCCGTTCTCCCGTTTCCAGTGTGAATCGCGACGGTTCCGTTCCTTTCCTAAACGTTCGAACGCGATGCGGCTGACCACGTGACCTGTTCCCGCGAGAAGCGACGTTGCACGCCATCTTCTTCAAATCTGTTCTCTGCGTCTTCCGTCGTGGACGTTTGTGGCACTATTCTCCGGCAACCGACCCATGATAAAAATTCTCTCTGTCTCTCTCTCCGTCTCGATGCAAATTATGATTTCTACTTCGTTTTTAAAAGCATATACTTGCACTTGCTTCATGGTTTCTTACGTGTTCTCCATCTCCGTTGCTCCCCCGACAGTTCGAATCTCTCCGATTCACCACCTGTTAATCTAACACCTGTGTCTCTAAAGCTACTGCGATACCGGGGGCCTTTCGTCGCGGAAACCGTTCGCACGAGTGTTCCAACAGCCTTGCGTCAATCGGATTCGGCTCCTCCACTCGGTGGAATCTCTCGGCGCGCCCCGAAACTGGCGGAAGCCCGTCCGAAACACTGATACCCGGGGAGTCCGTGCTCGTCGAATTTAAAAATCTGTCCGGTCGGTACGAACAGACGCCACTCGATGACCAGACCGATATACCGTTCGAACGGAAAACGAGTCCTCGCGAGCCGAGAGAATCGACCCGTTCGTTGAATGCCTTTCAGAAATTGGTCTATGGGTTTCAATACGATTATTGCGCAGCTCGGTTCCGCGCGTGCGCGCGACACGCGGCGGTTCTCTTCGTCGTCGGTTCGTCTTCGGTGGGTTCAGAGGCCAGCGAGGTAGGCGTAATTCTAAAAATCTGCAATTTATTCACACGGAGGTCTCGATATCGGCGATGGCGTATTGTCAACAAATACTGTCCTTCCCGTAGTTCTCTAGGTACATCTCCTGAGGCGTGGCCACGTTGTAACGTCCGCTCAGGCGACTACCCGTCAGGCCGTTGTTGTGGTGAGTGTGGTTCACGTGGAGGTGGTTCACGTTCAGGGCGACGTTCTTCTTTTTCTTGCGGGCTTTGTGACGGTAGAGGCAGTACTTCAGGCAGCCGGTCGCGAGCAGGAGGATCAGGAAGATCCCCAGGGCACCGGCACCCACGGCCACGTACAGCAACGTTATGCCGAAGCGGTACGAACAGTTGGCCTCCTCCTCGTCGAAGCCTGACGGGCAGTGGCGGATCCCGTCGCACCACAACACCGAGCTTATGCACGCCTGGATCTCCGGACACCTGGAAAGTAACGGTGTGAAACACTAACGAGATCACGGACGATATTAACAGTAGAACTACCACTTAAACTTTAGGTGTTACTTAATCAGCTTCAGTAATCACAAAAGAAGAAATCAAGGAATGGATCGTTTAGACCCATCTGGTAGTTCTAGTGTCAATGAACCAATGAGAGCCTCTTCACCAACTTTCTCGGTAAATTAACAAACTGTTGCAGGTCGAATTCGGAAGTCTACAGTGAAGTATAACTGATCTGAAGTTTGCCTAACCTATATGGACACTCTTCTTGGGGCAGTATGGTGAAGACGTTGGAGCTAACGCCTGTATTATGAGACCGTTTAGAGATAGCCATCCACGTGACAGCATAGAAACCAGGCTCCCTCTCAAGGAATTCGACGACGAAGCTCCTGGAATGCTGCGCCATGGCGACGCTGGCGTTTATCGCGCTATAGTTCCAGCCGCCGGAGAAGAAGTCAACGGTTCTGGCAGTGTCGACGCCGCCCTCGGGGCAGATCACGCTGCGCTCCTTCGTGTTGGAGGCCGAGTAAACGATAATACGGTTCAGCGTGGTGCAGTCTTCGACGTTATCTAGAGTAATACTGTATCCGGCAGTCCTTAAATAGAGGAAATTGATGCGAGCGTCCTCCGGCTCGATCAGCCAGGGCTCGTTGACGCACTGCGTCGCGGTGAGGTCCTCCGTGTTGGTCAGAATCTCCTCCACGGCGGCCACGCCGGGAATCACCCGGGGCAGAGGACTTCTCAGAGAGATCTCACCACTGGTCCCACGTAATCGTCGTTTCTCGAGCTTCGTCGAGCAGCCCTGCTCGCTCGTGTCAGCTCCCAGAGAGACGAAACGATACTCTCCTTCGAAGAAGAAGTCCTTGTAGTCTTGGGTGACGTTCATCAGGGTGACCGTGAACCGGACCTCCACCGCGTTCGACGTCAGGGTTCTGAAGACGATTCTGTCGGTAACGTTCGAGCACAGGCAGTCGCGAACCTGGAATTTGTAATCGAACAGCGTGAAAACGAGGCCAGCGATGACTAACTCTTTTCTTGTATAATCATCAGCGTACCAGTTCAACGCCTTGCCAAGGGTACTCCGCGACAACGAGCTGCGCGCTGCCGAACTTGGTCGCCTCGGCCAAGCGCCGGTCGCAGGTCCACCGGTTGACCAAAGGATCTACGTACGAGGAACATCCTTTGTTGCCGAACGAGGCCCTGGTTATCGACAGTTCTATCCTGTGGTCCGGCTCCGCCTCGAAACGATACACACAGCTAACGTTCTGCGCACCACCGCGTCCGTAGAAGAACACACTTTTCGGCGACACGAATCTGCCGATCTTAGCGGAGGACGAGGACAGGGGGGGCGTGGAAGACGTGGATGAAGCCGACGCGGAGCCGAACACGTGGTTGCAGGAGACCGCCTCGTGCACGAACTCGTACCGCAGCACGAAACTGATCGGGTAGAGCGCACTCCCTTGCCGCAGGATGTGCTCGAGCGTGAGGTCCCTGCCCGACGACACGTAGCTCTCGGCGAGGCTGCAGGGCCTCGCGTGGCGGCTGCCGTTCCGCAGCAGGCTGTGGTCGCAGAGCTTGGGCGTGTCGTCCTTGCAGAACTGCCCCAGAAGCGTGATGTTCTGGCGAACGCAAACACACGGTCAGAAGCCGAAGAGAAGGTCAGCGGTGAAGGAAAGGGTACCTTGCGAACGGAGGTCACTTTGTCCGACGTGTAGTCGCCGTCCCATATGAGGAGCGTCGCGTTGCAGTCGGACGCGACGTCGATGTTCGTCGAGGCCTCCGCGCTGGCCGCGTAGTACTTGACGAACGACAGCCAGACTATCTCGTTCAGCTTACCCTGGAAGTGGTAGCGGCATGTCGTGTTGGGCGGCAGCGAGTGCTTGGGATTCTCCAGGACACCCGACGAGCTGTCCTCGCTGGATATATAAAAGTCGCAGTTGTTGTTCTCCTTCACGAACGTCCTGGACTTCTCGTCCACGAACAGCACCTGTGAACGTGCGATCAGTTAACCCTTTGCGGATGAGGATGAAACACAGAAGACTGTCAGTGGATGAAGGTAAACTATACATCGATTAGATCATTGGAACGGAAGCTACGTACTGATCTGCTTTAGTAATTAAATCATCGTTCGCGACAAGATGTCGACGTTCAGAGGGTTAATGAAAGAAACTGCGACAAACTGACTGTTCCTCAACCTAACATAGGTTGACACTGAGTAACCGGCTGAAATTACCTGAACCTCCAGCTCGAAGCCCGGCAAGAAGGACAGAGGGACAGGGTGAAACGGATTGTCGTACGGAGACGTGTGGAACTCGAGTAGCATCGTGTTGTGGCTGCTGACGATGTCCGGCACCGCGTCCCCTCCGCACAGTCTGACCAACACCTTGTCCGACGTGGAGCCGCCGTCGTACACGGTCAGGTAGTCCTGCACCACGTTGCACTCGTCCCAGACTCTGAGGAACGGATTCGTCGGATGAAAGAATCGAAGAAAAAAGGAGAAGTCCGGCCAGGAAACCGAGTTACCTTAATATCCTCTGGCTTCTGTCGTATTTCACATCCTGGTCCTTAATGTGTATTTTATGGCTGTTCCGTTGACTCACGGCCAGCAACGCCCGGTGGCCGGGAGGAGCGCGGTTCTGCTCGACGCGGTAATAGCAGGTGACGTTTCTGGGATAAACGCCCGGGTAATTCGGCGATTGGAGCCGGCAGGCTCGCGTGTCGCACTTGGTGAGGACACGGTCGCAGTACGTGCCGTTCACCAGCTCCCCCCTCCACGTGGACATGCTGCTGTTCCCGTATCTGAGATGAGCCTCGCTGCGTCTCAGGAACTTGTACGACAACTTGAAATCGAAATTGTAGCCACTCCCCTATGGAAATCAGCGGCGGTGAGGATCTGTACCGGGGGTTCTCCTGGAATCTAACGGCCCTTACCTGCTCGGACAGTCGCAATATGTACAGAGTCAGGTTGATGGAAGGCGTCTCGCTATAATACACGGTGTAGCCCCACGCACTCCCGCACCATTGGCCCCCGGTGGCTGGACGACCCTCCTCGCGTATGGTCATGTACCCGTCCGGGCATCCCTCCGACGTGAACGACGAGAAACAACCCACGGTGAAAGTGTCAAACGTTAACTGCGGGTAACGGATAACCAATGCTTTCTCTGCGTCGCTTTGCCAGCGTCGTTAATATTCCTTACGGCGCAACGAGCTAATTCAACTTTGTTGGGCTACGAAATGCGAGGAGGTCAAAAGCGTATGGTGAATTGAGGCCTTAGTCCGTTTCCGTAGAAACGTTTTCGCGACGTTTCGGCATCGTTGCGTCGTTTACTGCACTTTGTTCTGTTGCTCTTAGAGAAATTATCTGTTCATTTAGATCTCAGAAAGAACGTTTACCAAATAATGCTTAAAAAATTCAATATGAGTCAAATCGACGCGTTCCGCAAATCTAGCGTTCAGACGCTTATTTAGGCAACGTTTCTAATTTAGATGAACAGTCTCAATTCACCGTAACTTACCAGGCCGTGGAAACATCGGATCTACCGTTAGGTGAACATCGCGATCACAATGAAAACTGTAGCGTCTGCTCCGCGGAGAATTCGTTAACTACGGTATTTGTACCGACGTCGATCCAGCAGTCAATGCATTAACTTCAGCGGAGAACGCGTTAACTTCGGTTAACCGCGGCGAAGTTCCAGCGAACCGATAAACACCGTCGTTGCAGTGTACCGAGGAGCAGAGCGTAGACCGGACGCGAAAGAAGTTGGGAACAAGATTATGGACGTCGGAAAGAATCGAGCAACTTCCTCGGCGGAGGGTAACGCGAGGGAAATGAAGCTGGTATACGAACCGATTAATCGTCGCGGTAGCGCGGAGGCCGTAGAGGAGAGCGAAACGAACGAACAAACTCGCAGAAACAATTTCGAGGGGACAAGGCACTCTCGCGGAAAACGAGAACGTGTCTCGAACGGACGGGCAAAAAATGATTATCCGAGGCTACTGGCCGGGACGCTCTGTCCGGGCCGTGACAGCCTCCTTCCGGCCTAGGGGGGAGTCAGCATTTATTTTCTAGGGGGTCGCGGCCGGTCTTCCCACCTGAACTAGGTCTCCGAGGTCAGACCCGGCGGCAGTGAAGTTGAGATGACACAGGAATGGCAGTCGATCCTCCCTCGGCCGGCGGACCTCCACCCTGTAGGTCCTGCCCACGTCGCCGTACAGCGTTCTGTTGCACGCTGGAAACCCGCACAAAGAGATCAGACGAGCTCCGCCGAGTAGAAGCCGAGCTTCCAGGTGGTAGAAGTACTCGGCTTGCTAGCTCTTCGCTCGAATTCGAATCGGCGCTACGTTTCAAAGTCTAACGATGGATATTACAGGGATCGAACTACATTCGTGACACGCTCGAGGGGACTCACGGGTGCAGTATTTGGGCTCGTCGGACTTGTCGCCGCAGTCATTTTCACCGTCGCAGTATTTGTCCTGGGCGATGCAGTTTCCGGTGTCGCATAGGTACTCGGACGGTCTGCAAATGGAACGCAAATAAAAGGGCATCGCGTGGGACTACACGGGACCCGTTTCGCGGCGTACATCGACGGACGCGGGACGAGTTGGAAGTTGTCTCTGAGATAATTGAGAGATTTTTGGGACTGACGTTTCACGGGGATGAGAGAATCGAAGATTCACGCAAGAAATGCCGATACATGTTGGAGACTTTTGTACCTGCAGACAGCATCGTTCTCCGAGCTTGCCGCTGGAGTGGTAGTGGCGCTCGATGTGAGCTCAGACGGCGTGGGGCCCAGATAGGCCGCGAAACCAGGGTATCCGGAGTAGTCCGACGATATTCCGGGGTGGTAACTAGCGGAGCCAGCCTCGATCGAGGCCGTGATCGCGGCTGCGATCAGCAGCAACCGCCGGCACATCAACATGCCCCTTCACCCTGGAAATGATCGTTAGCGATGGCTTATTGTGCTATATTTCTGGCAGTCCTCGAAGATTAAGGTATTTCCAAGGCGATGAATATTCGACGTGTAAATAGAGGATAATTTAACCCTTTGCATTAAGAAGTTTTCTACTAGGAATATTTTCACATTTTCTAAGGAAACGAAGATATTTCGTGAAATTAACTCGAAGAAACATCACGCGTACGTCGAGGAACAAAGGTATTTTATTCCAATATTTCTCAAATCGATGCATTACACCAAGTATAATATTAAATATCAAATCTTATAGTTCTGTATGAAACGACGACCGAGAATCACCTCTCGAGTGCAAAGGGTTAACAGCTTAAGAACGCTCGATCTCAACATCTCCGCATCGAACGGTTAACTCGAACGGAAGTGCAATCGAAGGATGGCTCCTCGGGTGAATCGCGTCGCCCGGTATTCGGGAGACGAACTCGAGAGAGCCCTCGTTCGCCGGAAAACGTAATACGGCTGTACGGAGCGATTTTAATACACGACACGAGAGAGCGGCGGGGGGCTTATTAAGACGGAAGATGCAGCTTTCGACAGAGCCCGAGCCCGGACCAGGCACTGCGGAGCATGCAGCAGCAAGTGGATTATGCTAATTCCATTCAGCCGGTTATATTTATCCCCTGAACCAGGAATATGTTTCCTTATTCCAGGAACAAAGAGCCGGCTCGAGTTTATCTCGGCCTCGTTCATTTATAATTTTTCAGCCGCCGCCCCGCCCCGCGACGCTCCAACCGGCGCGTGTAACCTGCCGATGATAAAGAGGACGCCTCGCGAACGGGCAGCTCCGGCGCGGGGAATCTCATAAAAGATAACCGGATTTCACCGACGAGGGGGTTCCAGGGGAAGAAGCTGCGTAGGGTACGCGTGCCGCTAAAAGCTCTGTTTATTAAGTCGGTGAACGGGGAATCTGGGCCAAACCCACGGCCCGGCGAACACGTAGCGTCGAGTGGAATATGGTAATTCGACCCAGTCGAGAGAGACTGCCAGCCTCGCTCGCCTCGCGAATCTACGGCGAACCGAGTTGCGAGTGTCGTCGGAATTGCGAGAGGAACTTACGCGCACGGTCAATTGAATACAGCGGGGACCGGTAGCGGGCCGGGGGGGCATTTCGGATCGCGGGATTCCAGGAATTGTCGACCGCAGAAGACGCGTCACGGGAACCCGGCTGCTCGCTGTACGACGAGACGCGTGGCAGGCTGGAGCATGTGGCTGGAAAACCTGGGTGTATCGTTGATAGGAAACGAACGGAAGTTTTACGGATGATGCAGTGACGGTAATGGGGAGGACTGAGCGGAAACAACGGTGAGTGGGTAAAAGGTCCTCGTAACTCTCCGTAATGTTACCACCGAGCAGTCGAATTGAAGTTTTCAAATTGTTCTACTGGGACTCTAAGACTAACTATTGAGACTTCAATCGACTTATACAATTCGCGTGTTACTAAGTGAACTGTTCCAGTGATTCCGCAAAGCATCGTTTATGCTTCAGTTTAGGCATTACTAAATCAGCTTAATCGTTTCTTACAGAAGTGTCTACGTTTGCAGTCGCTTTGAAAGAAGAGATTAGGAAACAGGTAACTTATTAAAGGCAACAGAAACTTCCGAATGGATTTCTCTCGCAGAAAGTTCAGTTTAGGTATTACTAAATCAGCTTTAATCGTTTCTTACAGAAGTGTCTACGTTTGCAGTCGTTCCAAAAGAAATTAGGAAACAGGTAACAGAATAACTTATCAAAGGCAACAGAAACTTCCGAATGGATTTCTCTGGCAGAGGTCGCTCTTCATAAATGTAGGATCCTAGAAGAAAGGTTGTCGCGTTAGACTACTCGCATGATAAATCATGGTTTAACGACCGCGACTGTACCCTCGAACGTTGCTTAATCTCCGAGCGCTTCTTACAGGAACTCAGGGAACTCAGGTCTCGCGGAAACATCGTTCTTGCCCGGTGGCATGGCGCGTTCCATCGGGAGGCAAGATGGCGGTGCTAGAGGGAAGAAAGGTGGCGTCGTAACGGTGCACCCGCGAGGAGCGAGCTTTTAAAAATCAGTTTCGACCGTTACTCCGCGCAAAAAATGGCCGGCGTTCCGGCGATCCGGGGGCAGGGGGCGGGGCGCGGGTTAAATTGCCCGCACCGGCCTCGAAATTGGGTCGGTGCACGGGAAAATCGACTGCAGATTGAGAGGACCTCTTCGCGGCGGATCAAGCCCCCCGGGCCGCCCTCCTTCGCGAACGCCAGGCCTCCTTTTTCTTCCGGCGAGGCATCCAGCCCGCTCGTTTCCATCGATGCGAAATTGGGGCTGGAGGGGACCATCGAATCGTTCGCCAAGAATAGGCAGACCCGATTCGAGGGGATCGACGATTTCCACGGTTCCGTGGGCTCCTGCCGGCGGGCCGATCGTTACGCGGCTCGGGGGCCGACGCGATGCGAGGAAAGAAGGGAGGCGATTCCGTCTTTCGCTCCAGTTCAGTCCGCGGCGGCGGCCCGTTACAACGCATCAACCCGATACGCAAATTGGCCGTGGCGCTGCAATGATCCGCCGGCCGCGCCACTGATTTCCGTAATTGGAACCTCTGTCCTCATCGCGCCCCGCTGGCTGTGCCAACGAATCCCCGAGCACCGAACGCTGTTCACCGTTTGGAATCGCTGTCGCATGGAAATACGTTTGTCGGATCGCATCGGGCCTTACGGTGACCATGGCTCTCCTGGCCAGTCGAGCAACAGTAACGTCTTCTCCACCGAGCTCGGGCTTTGGGAACGCTAAAACAAGTATTTACGGGTTGATGGGGCTCGCCGCTAACTGCGAGCGTTAACATTTTTCGGTGTACCCGGCGCGCACCGGAACCAATGGCAGCTCGTTAATTTCCCCGCGAAAAAAGCTTGAAGCCCGCCATCGCCGCTGCCATTTCAATTCTGTTCCATTAACGCTCGCCGACACTCCGCGCTTCAATCTTCCAGAAATAAGACCGCAAAACGCCCCGGGAACGGTCGTTAAAGTCACCTTTAACCGACCGGCGAGCGCCGGAACTGTTCCCGCGGTATTGATCGCGCTGCTGCGCCGCGAGATCGGTTGCGGCTCCGCTTCCGGCCGATCGGCGTCGGTTGCTCGACCGGAAACCACCGGTGTGTCACTGGTAACGTTGACTTTTGGATTTCAGACTCGCGCATCGACTCGTGAGTCCCTTTCCGTGGAGATGTTACAACCTGTTGCTTAATTACAGGTCATCGATGGACCGGCACTTCTGACTCGACTGGTATGGCAGTGCTGGGATCGATATCGAAGATTTTCTGCGGGTATTTTTACCGATAGAGTAGTTCACTATATGGCAAAAATATTAGGTTGTTCCGTAAGTTCGTGTTGTAGTAGTTATATTTAGTTGATGCTGAATTATACTTCTCGCGTTATGCTTCAGTTTAGTCGGAGAAAATACTCGAGATCGATAGATCGTGAAGTTGGGATTTTATAATTAATCGAATATTATTTTATATGGTGGAGAAATAAATGGCATGAAGTTATGGGACGACCTAATAATTTCAATTATATTATCGACTGTGTTTCATTGCCATGTATTTAATTGTGTCTTTCCATTCTGATAATTTCAATTATGTTATCGACCGTTAATTGCCATATGTTTAGTTGTGTCTTTCCACGGCTTCATTTCAGTTCATAATTACGAATTCTGAGTGTTGTAATTGTATATGACGCACTACAGGTTTCCAGGGCTCGTCTCGCTTTCAGCTGGTTCATTCAAATTTTTTAAATAAATATATTTCTCCCTTCGATCGAAGTACGTTCGATAAAACATCTCCGTCGAGCGCAATTGGCAAAGAAATAGGACGAGGGGTTAATAGTTGACGCGTGTTATCAGCAAATAATTCTTTCGGGAAACAGCGAAATCCGCTGGATAAGATTACCAGGAGACACCATGGGAAAAGTTCGCGACTGAATGCAGTCAAAGCTGTTGCAGTCTCGGAAGTTGAACGACGACTAGGAATTTTCTCTTCTCCCCGTTCGTTTTTTCTCCCCTCGTTCTTTCTTTTTCGTCGTGTGGCAGCGCAATCTATAGATTCCTCTAACCCCGATATCCGACTGTACATCCCCCAGGGCGTTACGAGACAGATGCAATGTGTCTACCTATTCGTAGAATAGGGCGCCGCACATATGTGGTCGGACGAAGTTGGACGTTGGCAGGGAAAAGTGCCAGAAGGTACTGAAAAGGGAAGGAAATAAGCGCTGTACGTGGCGAAGGCGGTTCCCCGGCTTGCCAAAAATCAAACTTTCTGGACCGTGCTCTATCCGCGCCTCCCCCTCCGCCGCCGCTCTATCTCCTGCCCCCTCGCGAGAGGCAGGGTCCAAGTGCGGCCATAAATAAAATAAAATCCGGCCCATGGATAACGGCCGTTGTATTTTGCAATATTATATTCGGCGGCGCTTTTCAATTGCGCATTAGCCATTTGCGGAACGGCAATGTCCACCGGTTGATTAATATTTGCCAGTGAGCCGGTCGTTTCGCGCAAAAGCGAGCCATTTAATTAGATCCTACGGCCGAGTCATTACGTAAATAAAACGCCATGAAAAGCATGCGGTGGGATGGATTGTAAAGCGAGGCAGAATTCTCGTTTCGACTGTGTTCGATGTCGCACGCGAAATTTTCATGCTCCTTTCGACTCTGTCGATCGCCATGCACCTCGTTTCGAAATAAACAAGAATCTTCGTGTATTCTCGCGTGAAATTTTCGAGGTGCTCTGAGCGAACGCGACGCCATCTTGGTTTCCTCGGAATAAGCAAGATGAAGGTTCGTCATCTGCTATTTCGAATTCGATCGTGTAATCCAAGGAAGCCACGGGAATTCCCATGGATTCGAAGAGTGTATTTTTTGGATATCGAAGAAGTGTGTTTGTTTCTGCAACTGTATTTGTTCGTCGATCGCGTACCGACCGATCCGCCCGGCAATCTACTTACGCGGATC